TTAAGTACCTGTAGTTATAAACTTGACCCTTAGAAAGTTTCATTTTAGTCAGAAGGTCTGATACATTACATTTTCATTTGAATGCAATGCTTTAAGTGCATAAGTGCATCCAGAATTACTGTGTTGAAGTTTGTATGTGTTTTTCTAGCTAGCAGATTTTTTGTTTATTTTGAAATTGGGTGTGCTTGTTTAGGAAATTCATGTTCAGCATTTAATATCTTCATGATGGGTTCTTCCCTTAATCAATATGAACTGATCCTCTTTTTATTTCTTTATGGGGATGCCAGCTGCTCACTCCCACAGAGACCCAGGGCTGTCCCTGCCTTTGTGTCCCTGTCCTGATGTCCCTGCCAGCAGGGCCCATTGGCACATCTCCTGGGAGTTGGCCAAGGCCTGCAGGAGAAAGCATAGGCACTGTCCAGCCTCCTCTGAACTGATATTCTTATCTGTTCTTACTTCGGTTGGAGGTCCCATCAGCCAGGTATCTGTGTAGCTTCAAGTGCTATTTTTTTCTGAGCCATTTGTTGTTTTGGAATGTCTTTTCCATCCTTTTATGCTAACAGTGTTTTTTTTTCCTTTATCACTGAGGTGCTTTTACTGTTAGCAACACATAATCATACCAAATTAAACACAGTAAGCTCCAGTAACTTTCCCGAGCCAGTGATAAAGCACTGACAATAGCAGCTCATGGAAGAATGCTTTTATTTGAGTTCTCAGTTCCAGGTTGCCATGCATCATGGTAAGGACATCACAGCAGCAAGAGATTGAGACGGTTAGTGACATTATACCCAAGGTCAAGAAGCAGAATGAGCAGAATGAAAGCAATGCATGCATTGTTGTGCTCAGTCTACTCTCTTCACTCACGCAATTTAGGATCCTCAACAGAGGCCTGAATCTTTCCTCCTTGATTAACATAATCAACATAATCCCTCCCAGACTTCCTCAAAGGCCACTGAGACTCTCTTCTCAAGTGACTTTGTCAAGTGGGCAGAAGATATTAATGACGTGTCCTTAAATGTTAGATACTAAGGTTGGGAATGGAAATAAACAGAAAAAACATCTATCAGTTTAAAGCAACAGACAAAAATAGAAGAGAGAAAAGTGGACAGACATGAGTAACCAAAATGACAGAGTGGGGAGACACAGTGGCTTCACCTGAAATTTGAAAGAAGAGAAGAGATACTACTACAAGACAATCTAAGACAACATATGCACACTTGAAAGACCAAGACAAAAAGAAGCTCAGCACAATGTCTGCTTGTGCTTCGGGGGAAAGTCTGTCCAAATGAGAGAGATAGAAAGACACACAGACACACAGAGAGACAGATACAGAGAGAGACAGAGACACATAAAATGAAAGTGGTCCATAAAAAACTAAAAGTAGATATGAGATGTACAGAGAAAAAGATGTAATAGGTGATGGCACAGACTGTCTATGTGGTCACCATCCTCACTACGATTGAGAATTTGCCTCTATGTACACCAGTAGTGTTCAGGCACAGAGCCTGTCTATGTCTCTTATCAGGACAGTCATAAACAGAAGGTTCAAGAGATTAAAACGAAGCTCTATTATATAATTTGGATTGCATGAGAGTGAACAAGTCCTAGATGTTCAATTCATAACATGTAAAAATTTAAGTATTTTTCTAATTTCCAATTAACTTTTATCTAATTGATTTAACATTAATTTTTAAACTTGGGACATTAACTGGAGTATTCCAAATTATTGCTTTGACATTAATACAGAGTACATACATTTTCATAAGGCTATTAACACTTAATCGTGGAGCATAATGAAACACCTACTAAATCTTCTACTGTATCAATATAACTTTGTATGTCTAAATAAGATATTATAAAAAAAACATAAGGAATTTAAATTATATGCAGAATAATAGTATCCAGGACTTAGAAAATAGGACTTTTTAGGATAAGAATAAACTTCTAGAATAAGAAATTAGATTTTATTGCACTAGCTGTATTTAAATATTTAAGATCTCATTGAGGATCGACTGAAACAGCTTGGGTAAAATAAATTAGGTCTTTTCAGCCTGAGGCCATTAAAGCATTTCAGTGCAGGAGGAAGTGAGATTGGTCCTCATGAATTAACCTCCGCAATATCTACGGGAACGTTTTCTAGTCCTGGCTAAAGTGCATTCCTGTGTACTTCTCTTAAGCCATCTGCCAATCTTAATGCTGATCCCGAGGGAGGAAATCTGCCAGAGCTATTTCTCATTTAATTTGCAAGGACATCCTGTTTAGGTACTTATCGGAAGAAGAGAGTACTTGATGCCTAACAGCCCAAACTCTGCTCCAAAGCACTTAACCGGCTGGACTGAAGTAAGCCCACATTTAAAGGGAACTCTAGCTTACTGCCATTAATTTAGTAAATACTTAGAAAATATGACTTTAAAGACTAATTTTTTAATAAAATATTTGTACCTTGTTTTACATATACTAAGGGATTTCTCGGGTTGGGGTTATTGCTAAATGTTCTAGAGAGTGAATAAATGCTGTAGTTTCCCGGAGCAGGAATATTTCTCTTCAACCACAAGATAAAATTCAATCATTTATCTATTTTGAATAACTAATTCTTTAACATAAAGTATTTATTTTTAAATTGTAATTGTCACGTATGATTAGTAATAACAAAAGAACTAAACTGTACTGTACTTATTTTATTATATAATCACTATTGTTTAAGTGTAACTGTTTATTCCATTAATTCCATGTATTTAATTTCATAATTTAAGGTAGACAATAGCCTTTCTAATTTTTCAATATCCCTGCTATAGCATGTCATATAATATAACTGTAAATACATTTCGTTTTGAAGTTTTCTTATTTGAATCATGAAAAGGGGTATCGTTTCTATTTTTAATTGAAATGTGGCTATGAACTGTGACTGTAATATATAGTTTACGTTAGTCAGCAACCCCATAACACATCACACCTCCTGCTGTGTGCTCTCTCTCTGAAGGAATTTGCACCACGTAGGTGACATCAAGAGTGTAAGAGATGGAAGCCACTCCAGAAGTGGGAAGTTTGAAGTGTATTAGGACCTAGAGGAACAAGAACTCAGTGAATACCACTAAGAGGGCCTTTTAAGTTGCAGTTGCAAAGAACAGATCTACTCCATCCATTAAACAACCTGGTGTCCTTGAAGCTGCTGTTCAGCTGCCCTCTAACCCAAAAGAAAAGAAAAAAAAATCCTAAATCTCAGTCCTCTGGCAACATGCACCTAGTATTTATTGACCACGTCACATGACACCAACGCATCACATGACTTAGTATTTATTCACCAGTGCATCATATGACTTAGTATTTATTGACCAGCACATTACATGTTGTTAACTTCCTCTACAATGATTTAGAAATGCAAAGTGAGCATAAGTTTTTGAAAAATAAAGCAAAAAATGGAGTTGAAATACAACAGTAAACTTCATTTATCTATTTTTTCACATTTATGTTTCCTTTAGACCTCTTTTTTTCACTTTTAGAAACTTTTTTATTTTTTTAATTTTCACGATCAGGTTTATCTGTATAACAGCTCCGGCTCTTCTGGAACTTGCTTTGTAAGCCAGGTTGACCTCAAACACACAGAGATCTGCCTGCCTCTCTCCTTCCCTGGCTTAATTTTTTATTGAAAATAGATAATTGTATACAATATACTCTGACTGTGGTTTGCCCTCTCCCCTCTCCTACGTCCTTTCTCCCACCTCAATCATCCAGATCCACACCCTTTTTTTTCTTTCTCATTAGAAAACAAAGTCATCTAAAAAAATAAGAAGAAAGGAAGATTAAGTAAGATAAAATAAATACAAACAAACCTTACTAGGACAAAACAAATTAACAGGAAAAAGAAAAGAGCTAAAAGAAAAAAAAACATAAAAAGCAGATATAATCTACACAAATTCTCACATAGAAATCCTATGAAGATATAAAATCAGAAACCACGCTGTAAGGATAAAGATCTGTAGGATTTAAAAAATAGAGTAGACAACGATGACATTGCCTTAGACTTTATTTTAAAGGCCCATAAAAATGTATGGTAGGAAGATAGAATGGAATATAGAATATTACACAGCGCTGTGGAAACTGTTGGTGTCCCTCCTCCTCCCACCAAAAACACCCTTATTTATGATCTTTACTACATTTTTCTAAACTCACAGAATGAAACTTCTATTGCCTTAGCAATTCTAGGCATCCTGAGGGATACTCCTATCAATTGGACCTTTGTACTCCCCACCAGAGGCCTGATTTTTGAGGTTGCTAGCTGTTGTTGTCCAAGATTCTATCAATGGCTAGTAGACTGGCAGCATCCATTGAAAAAGTGAGGCTCAGAGCCTGGGAAAGCTCCCAGTATTGACATTCTCCCTGCTTCAGGGCAATGAGCTTATTATATACAGGGTAGAAAATCAGAACCAACAACAACAACAACAATAAAAAACTCTAGTAATGCCACTTCTCAAGATCTTCAGAAATTACAAATTTTTATCATTATCTAAATAATATATAACTGCCCCCCCTTGGGTACCTAATTCTATTATAAAAAAAATATTCCTCAGAGTCATGTGCTTCTTTACCAAGACCTATTCCTTCTAGAATGGAAGACTACACGAAAACCAATTTTAAAAGAAATCAACCTAAGAGACTGTGAGAGAAGCACAGTAGTATTTTACTTTTAGAGTACGAGAAAGGTTCTTGTTAATTACACAGACAAGCACAGACGTACAATTAAAACATTCATCCGCAAACTGTAACTCAAATGTACTTTGAAATCTAGAAACAGTCAAAGAAATTTCCATGTCTTTAGGAAACAAATGAACAAAATAAATATTGCAATGCATTTTAAACAAAAAGTACCCAACTCTTCCAGAAAGTAAAAGTTAAGTATTTCTGTGAAAGGAAAAAATTATCTCATATTATAAGCCATTGTACTGAAGAAATTAAATACCTGTTCTTTTATTGTAATTAACAAAAAATGAAATATTGGTTACCTTTTCTTCTTTTTAGTGTTGGAAGCAGTACTTCTGCCATTGAAGTTCCAAGTAGTTGTGCATAAATATGACCAGTTTTCATACTAAACATATGGTTGTTTGCGCCATTAAACTTCTATATTTGACTATTAGACACAAGAGCAAGAAAGGCTTAGAAAAAGCAAAATTTCAAAATGTCATTAAAGATGTTGTTCATCACCACCATGTTAATAATTGTTTAGAGACTTGCATCACTTACATGAAATTATTGCATTAAATGCACCACTAAACCTATAAGACATAAGCTTCATGTGTGTGTATGTGTGTGTGTGTGCGCGCGCGCGTGTATGAAGTAATAAGCCATTTTATCAAATAGAGAGTTCTCACATTTTGTCACACATGGACTAATGACGTTACTAGACTATTGTTAGCAAAAAGTAAACAAAACCATAAACTTACACAGCATATATACATCATTTTCTTAACATTTTAAGGATAATCGCTCCTTCCCACAGAGTAGAGAATTTCTCGGTGGATAAAGAGCTAACATCGATAATTTCTTTTGACAACTATATACATTACATTCAACCTTTAATTCTCAATTAAATTCCAAAAGAAAGGGAGCTGATCATTTCTGAAGCTCACCAAATTAAGTGACCGCAAGTTTAGATGATAACAAATTCCCCCAAACCAAAGGCACACAGTTATTATCTGTCATAAGAAAATCAAACCTTAAGAAAAAAATGGAAAAGCTATACAGTATCACCATTAGTCTAACATCACATAAATATTTTAAAGGTATAATAAAATTTAAGTCTATATATAGCTAAATGAGTTCTGTAGTAAAAAGCTGAAGATAATATTTTAAATAAGTAGTCCCTCTTTACTATTTTTGTTTACTACTAGATTCACCAAGCTGCCTAAAATTCTATTTATCAAATAATCATGATGTATTATTGTGCCTCTGAAAACAAGCTTTTTGGTTTTTTTCCCTCGGAATCATACTTAGCAAGCCCAATTTGTTCTAGATCTATTAATGTAGTTCATAATTTTTACTAAACTATTTGAATAAATTTTGGAAAGAAAATATAACTTTAACAGAAAATCTGCCAAGTTCTTGGATTCATGGAAAAAAATGAGTAACAATGAAAGTACTTACTGAGTTTCCTATCACTGTGACATCATCTCTTATGTTTCCCAATACCATCTGACACTGTTTCTAGGACTTATTTCTCCCACATGCAACTGGAAACAAAGATGTGTCGATGTGAACAGATGTGTTATTATCCTTATCACAAGGGACAGTGCCGTGGAGTAATCCTTCTGTACACTGTGAAGACGTGCCTTTGCCTCATGCCTTCTGATTGGTTTAACAAAAGGCTGATTGGTTAATAGCTAGGCAGGAAGAGGAGAAGGGGGAGAGTCAAACTGTGAGAATGCTGGCAAGAAGAAGGAAGAGGACACAGAGATGTCAGCCAGAGGAAGAGAGAGCAGGAGATAGCATGCCATGTTGAAAAACTACCTCCATATGGTAGAGCATAGAAAATAACTATGGCTCAATTTAAGATGTATGAGCTAGTTAGGAACAAGCTATCAGACGAGCCTTTATAATTAACAGTAAGTCTCTGTGTGGTTATTGGGATCCAGCTAGAGGGACACAGCTGACCGACAGTCCTTGTGAAAAAACTGCACCAACAGGATAGAAAAAAATAAATACATTTGATGATTTCTCTGGACTGAAAATGTTTTCCCATATAGGTTTCAGGTAAAAATGTTGGTGAAGTCAGCTAGATCCCTTTGATCATGCAACAATGTTGTGAAACATACTCATATGGTGCTAATATATTTTACAAAAGATCAAATGCATGGTTGCTTCATGAAAATGATTTAGCCACCTAAGTAAAGGCAAACTTTGAGCTAGCATTCTTTCATGAGGAACTGAGATATTCCAGACTATGTCAAAAATAAATTTTTGGTGAAATGATAGTTGTTGTAATTAAAAAATTGAATAAATGAAAAATAATTCACATTAATGTGATTTAAAATTTAGAGAATTTTTTGATGATCTGATTAACAGTTTACAAATAGCTGTTCAAAGAATCAATAAGTGAAGACTTTTTGAGATGGTTGTTGAATTCTTTTTTATTCGTTTTGTTTAATTTTTTCATGCAACATATATGTTGATCATATTCTTTCCCCTCCTCCAACTCCTCTCATGTCATCTCCATTTCCCTTCTTGTTTGTTTATTGGGAGAGAGACTGTTGAATTCTTAGTAGACTGAAATCCACTGTATATGGGATGTTTACACCCCATATACAGTGCTATGTTAGAGCATTTCCTAACTAGCACACCATGATCCTCTTGTTTGTTGAATCTCTTTCTCACTTACCAATACCTTATTTTAGTGCTTGCTTTTGCATTTTTTAAATATTATTTGGTAAGAAAGAAATAGACTGGAGGACAAGAAAAAAAGATTGGAAGAAGTAAAGCATACCATGTCCTTTCTAAATGTTTCTTAAAATGACAATTAAACTATTTAGAACCAAATTCTTTCTATCATATATAAAATATAAGAATTGCCCTTTTTTGAAAGGTATAGAAGTTTAAATAGTTAATTTAAAAATATCTAAATTTATTTACTAAATTCTAAAATAAATATTCTTTCATATTTTAACAATGATTTTCATCATTTAGATTTTAAGAAAGTCAACATAGCCATAATCATTTGGCATATTTTTAAATTTATATAGACAGCTCTATAACTATTTTCCTATGTTTTTTGAATTTTATTGAACGTATGTATCTACATATTTTATTGTATGTATAGCTCTGCATATCTGCCTATTTCCTGTAATTTTCATTATTTTGTTTTAACAAAGCTATGATGTTAGGCGTCTGTGCATGTTCTGACTGGGTTTCTTAGAAACATCGAGGGAACTGTTTGGGAGGCCATGCTTATGTCAGCTCTCGTCAGTTCTCACATATGTCTTCGCTCTACGGTAATCCCCTCTGCATTGTCCATTCCTCAGCACAGGCTCTTGACAAGCTCTGTACTGATATGTCTAAGAGAGTACAATAGGCAAGGAGAAGTTTTAATCTCTTTATCCAAATTACAAAAAAAAAATAGAGATTTAACAGCACTGTTTTTCTAAAATCATGCCAGAAGCCCTTGGGCTATTTCCATTTCCGTAAACTGACTCATCAATCTGAAAGCAAGAGGTGCTGTCTCTTTCCAAATAAAAACTTTCCTCTCTCTTTATTCAGCCATCACCTGGAAAGCAAGTTTATATAAAATAAAATATCACTTATATAACTGCAAACTTATCTTAAGCATATTTACATATAGGAAATTAGATAAAGACAGTGGTAGAGAGAAAGAAAATGTGTGTATTTCTAGATGCATATCCATAATTATGTTATCTTTAGGAAACTGCTAATTAGGACACAGCATAAATGACCTTACTTAAATCTCTTATCAACTTTTAGACAATTGCCTAACTCACCTTAAAATTGTTGACGTTGACTGGGGTGACAGACACCTATAATCCCAGCATTCAGGTGGCAAAGACAGATGAATCTCTAAGTTTGAAGTCAGCCTCGTCAACAGAGGGTTTCTAAGACAACCAGGGTTACACAGAGAAACCCCGTCTTGAAATACAAAACAAACAAAACAATTGAAGTTGTTAGGTGACACTAAGCTACAAAACCCTGAACAGTTTTTCAATTATCCACCATCCATCATTGATTTAAGAAGTTACCTTTTATAGAAAAGTAGCAAATTTTAAAGTTAGGTTTCTATTGCTTCAGTTTAAAAAAACCACAATGTGTATATTTGCTTTATCTTACATGATTGAGGAAGTATCACATTTGAATGACAATCTGAAAATGCATAAAAAATTGAAGGCTATCTTTAATGGCATAATAGGAAACCATTACTTGTAGAAACACCATACTGCAATATTGGTGATTAGCGCAGCCTTAAACCAACAGCATGCCCTATATCCTGTGCAATATTTTTTATTTAGCCTAAGAATTACAGTGGAATATTCCATCAGCCCATGGGTCTTGAACTTGTTGTTTTCTACTATTTGTTGGATCCAGAAGCCAAGGGCTTTCAGTTCTCTTGTTTTTGTCATATTTCTACTCAGGAGTGCAAGTTAAGCTGACTTTTGCTCCTCATGAGCACAAGGTAAATTATTAAAGTTGGTTTCCCAAAAGACTTTAGCAACAACACACGTGTTTAAATGTGCTCAATGTTGTCTTGAGACTTTTCAAATAACTTGAGAACAATTAAATGGACTGCACACATGGAATCATAGGTTAGTGTACTTGTTTTTACTGGCAATTTCTTTTCTTTTCTTTTCCCTCATTCCTTCCTTCCTTCCTTTTCTTTCTTTCTTTTGTTTAAGAAAAGACATCAATGGCCAGCATCTAAAAATCACTGTGATTTAAATTTTTTGGTAAAGTTACATTTCCCTACTTCATTTAGGCTTGGATAAAATTTATTTCACTCTATATCTTTTCCAAAACCTGTCCCATAAATGACTCTGTTATCAATGCAACGTTTCAAAGCATGTGGACAAGAATGTTCAGTGGACCCTGTACAGACTGCCTGCATGACTTCCTTCTCCATCTTTTTTTTTATCATTTTTTATTTTAATTTTAAATAGCTTGTTTTACATGTCAATACCAGTTCCCTCTCCCTCCCCTCCTCCCGCACTCCCCTTCCCCCCTCCCTCCCACCCTATTGCCAAATCCTTCCAAATAGGGGATATCTAGAGTCTATCATTTTACTCTTGGTAGGGTCCTGGCACTCCCCTAAGAGTCCAGGCTGAGAGAGCGTCTCTCTTTGTGCTATAGGCACACAAAGACAGTTTGTATACCAGGGATAGACACTGATCCACAGCTCAGGGCCCCATAGGTTGCCCAGGCCTTCTCCCTGACACTCACATTTGGGGGGTCCAGATCAGTCCCATGCTGGCCTCCCCACTGTCGGTCTGGGGTCCAAGAGCTCTCCCCTGTTCAGATCAGCTGTCTCAGCTGGTTTTGCAAGCCCATTCTTTGCCAATTTGCTCATCACTCCTCTCTCTCTGTCACTGGGTTCCTTGGGTTCAGTTCAGTGATTAATTGTGTGTTTGCCTCTGCTTCCATCAGTCACAGGATGAAGGCTCCTGGATGGTTATAGACATCAAGTTCATTATCAGGAATGGGCATTCGAGGTGGTCCCTCCACTATTGCTTAGCTTGCCAATTGGTGTTATCCCTTTAGATCACTCGAGGTCACTCTGGTGCCTGATCTGTCTTTGATCCTATGATTCCCTCTTCCCCCTATTCTACCCTCACCCCCTCAACTTCCTGTTCCCCCATGACCAACTCTCTTCCTCTTCTCCCCCTCTCTTCTTCCCAGGTCCCACTCCCCCCACCCCTCGCTGTGTTCCCCTTCCATTCAGAGGATCTTGTCTCCATCCTCTTCTCTTAGGTACTATGCATATATGCATATCTTTTAGGTTCTTTCCTGTTTCCCAGACTCTCTATCTGTGGAAGTGTAGACTGGCACTATCCTGATCCATGTCTAAAATCCATATATGAGTGAGTACATCCCATGTTTGTCTTTTTGCGACTGGGTTACCTCACTCAGGATGGTTTCTTCCAGTGCTATCCATTTCCCTGCGAATTTCAAGATTCCATTGTTTTTTTCTGCTGAGTAATACTCCATTGTGTAAATGTACCACATTTTCTCTATCCACTCTTCAGTTGAGGGGCATCTAGGTTGCTTCCAGGTTCTGTCTATTATAAACAATGTTGCTATGAACATAGTGGTGCAGATGCCCTTGTTGTATGAACCTGCCTCATTTGGATAAATGCCTAAGAGTGGAATTGCTGGGTCTAGTGGTAGATTAATTCCCATTTTCCTGAGGAATCTCCATACTGATTTCCAAAGAGGCTGTATGAGTCGGAACTCCCACCAGCAGTGGAGGAGTGTTCCTCTCTCTCCCCATCCTCTCCAGCATAAATTGTCTTCGGTGTTTTTGATTCTAGCCATTCTGACAGGAGTAAGATGGTATCTCAGAGTTGTTTTGATTTGCATTTCCCTGATGGCTAAGGATATTGAGCACTTTCTTAAGTGTCTCTTGGCCATTTTAGCCTCCTCTACTGAGAATTCTGTATTTAGCTCTGTACCCCACCTTTCAAGTGGATCCTTTGGTGTTTTGGAGACTTGTTTCTTGAGTTCTTTGTAAATTTTGGAGATTAGCCCTCTGTCAGATGTAGGGTTAGTGAATATCTTTTCCCATTCTGTGGCCTGCCTTTTTGTCTTTTTGACTGTGTCCTTTGCCTTACAGAAGCCTTTTAGTTTCAGAAGGTCCCATTTGTTTATTGTCGATCAAAGTGCCTGTGCCACTGGTGTTATGTTTAGGAAGTGGTCTCCTGTACCAACTCGTTGAAGAGTATCTCCCACTTTCTCTTCTAAAAGTTTCAGTGTGGCTGGATTTATGTTGAGTTCTTTGATCCATTTGGACTTAAGTTTTGTACAAGGCGATAAACCTGGATCAATCTGCAGTCTTCTGCATACCAATACCCAGTTATGCCAGCACCATTTGTTGAAGATGCTTTCTTTTTTCCATTGTACAGTTTTAGCTTCTTTGTCAAAAATCAGGTGTTCATAGGTGTGTGGGTTAAAATTAGGGCTTTTGATTCGGTTCCATTGGTCTACCTGCCTATTTTTGTGCCAATACCAAGCTGTTTTCAGGACTATAGCTCTATAATAGAGCTTGAAGTCAGGTATGGTGATGCCTCCTGAAGTTCCTTTATTGTATAGGGATGTTTTGGCTATCCTGGGTCTTTTGTTTTTCCATATAAAGTTGATTAATGTTCTTTCCAGGTCCTTGAAGAATTGTGATGGAATTTTGATAGGGATTGCATTGAATCTATAGACTGCTTTTGGCAAGATTGCCATTTTTATTATGTTGATCCTACCAATCCAAGAGCATGGGAGATCTTTCCATTTTCTGGTATCTTCTTTGATTTCTTTCTTTAAAGACACAAAGTTCTTGATATACAGGTCTTTCACTTCCTTGGTTAACATTATCCCCAGATATTTGATGCTGTTTTTGGCTATTGTAAAAGGTGATGTTTCTCTGATTTCTTTCTCAGTCACTTCATCATCTGTATATAATAGGGCCATTGATTTTTTGAGTTTACCTTTTATCCTGCCACATTGCTGAAGGTGTTTATCAGCTCTAGGAGTAACCTTGCGGAGTTTTTTGGGTCACTTATGTAAACTATCATATCATCTGCAAATAGTGAATGTTTGACTTCTTCTTTTCCTATTTCTATCCCCTTTATCTCCTTTTGTTGTCCTATTGCTGTAGCTAGAACTTCAAGTACAATATTGAAGAGATATGGAGAGAGTGGAGAGCCATGTCTTGTTCCTGATTTTAGAGGAATTGCTTTGAGTTTCTCTCTATTTAGTTTGATGTTAGCTGTTGGTTTACTGTATATTGCTTTTATTATATTCAGGTACGTTCCTGTTATCCCTGATCTCTCTAGGACCTTTATCATGAAGGGGTGCTGGATTTTGTCAAAGGCTTTTTCAGCATCTAGTGAGATGGTCATGCGGTTTTTCTTTCGCAGATTGTCTAGCGGTGAGAGCAGAGTGTTGAAGTCTCCTACTATTAGTGTGTGAGATTTTATGTGCATTTTGAGCTTTAGTAATGTTTCTTTCACGAATGTAGGTGCCTTTGTATTTAGGGCATAGATGTTTAAAATTGAGACTCGTCTTGATGTATTTTTCCTTTGATGAATATGAACTGCCCTTTGTCATCTCTTTTGATTGATTTTAATTTGAAGTCTAATTTGTTAGATATTAGGATTGCTACACCCGCTTGTTTCTTGGGGCCATTTGATTGGAAGATCTTTTCCCAACCCTTTACCCTGAGATAACATCTGTCTTTGATGTTAAGATGTGTTTCTTGTATGCAGCAGAAGGAAGGGTTCTGTCTTCGTATCCATTCTGCTAGTTTGTGTCTTTTTATAGGCAAGTTGAGGCCGTTGACATTGAGGGATATTAATGACCATTGATTGGTGATCCTTGTTTGTGCTTGATTTATTGTTAGTGAAGTTATTTTGTGTAGTTTCTCCTCCCTTTTTCTTTTGGTGTTTTGTAAAGTATGATTATATATTGCCTGTGTCTTTGTGAATGTATTCATCTTCCTTGGCTCTAGGTTTTCCTTCTAGCATTTTCTGTAGAGCTGGATTCATGGATACGTATTGTTTAAATCTGGCTTTGTCATGGAATATTTTGTTTTCTCCATCTATGGTAATTGAGAGCTTTGCTGGATATAGTAGTCTGGGCTGGCATCCTTGTTCCCTTAGCATTTGTAGGACATCTGACCAGGATCTTCTGGCTTTCATCATTTCCATTGAGAAGTCAGGTGTAATTCGGATAGGTCTGCCTTTGTATGTTACTTGGCCTTTTTCTTTAGCTGCTCTTAATATTTTCTCTTTACTCTGTAGGTTTGATGTTTTGATTATTATATGGCGAGGTGACTTCTTTTTCTGGTCAAGCCTATTTGGTGTTCTGTAAGATTCTTGTACTTTCATAGGCATATCTTTCTTTAGGTTAGGGAAGTTTTCTTCTATGA